GAGCCCAACGTGACGGAAGGGGGCGAACTGGAAGAGACACGGGGCGGGAGAGACCTGGGTCAAAAGCTGTCCCAGACTCTCCTCCAGAGACTGTCCTACATGTAGATGTCCCTGGATTCCGGTTTCCCTGCGGAGCTAGTGCTACTACTGTCTCTCCTTCTCCTGAATGACTTTAAGAGGGTCTTGAGAACCACAACAAAGGGGTTCCTTGTACTGAACCAGTTGTACGTTACCAAATTTCCCTTGCAAGGCGATGCCCAGTGTCAGAGACAGCCGTGGTGAAGCAATGCCTGATGGACTAGAAAAGCAACGCAGTTCTGAACGTAGGCGGGGAGACAGTTGTTCATCCCAAGCGTTCGCCTTCTTGCCTCACCCCGCACATCTGTGCCCTTCCCCTTTTTAAGGGCCCAACGTGGGTGTTCAAGTAGGACAATGGGCCTCAAAACCATAAGCCAGCACGCTCTCAGTCCCAGGTTTTCCTCCTTCATCCCTTTCTATTCCGTGTTCCCACTGCCCTTTCGTCTCCACGTACAAAGCAAACCCCTGCAGGCGGAGCGGACTATAGCTGGACTATTACTGACACCGGGAAGAGTTGGTAAAAGAAACGCCACCACTTTAGCATGTGCTCTCCTAGCACCTCCCTTGCCACTGGCTCCATTTCTTTCCTGTCCGTCTTCATTTCCCCAAATCTTCTGTCCCTTTTATCTGTGGGCTGAGCAGTGACTAAATTCATCACTGCCTTGGAATGACTCATGAGCACAAATGATGATGTAGCATTAACTCCTTCCTGAAATTCCCTGGAAGTACTTGTTAAGTACTAGCGAAAGTACGCTGGAAAGGAGGTGAGGAGTCAGCATTGGAGTTGAGAACATGACATGACAGTGGCGTTAGTTATTTAGTTATGTAGTTATTTAGTTCAGGCCTCCACGTAGCATGGGTTAGGGTGAAACCTGACCCAAGTGTCCACCTGACGCACAGCAAAGCCGATCCAGGATGTCAGGTATGTGATAGAAAAATGGGAACCACACTCTTGAACTTTGATCTTTATAACTCTGCCCCCTTCTTTGTCTTCCTCAGAGCATTATCAAGGTTTCTACCTGAATCTCTGTCTCCCAAATTGCAATTCTAATTGCCCAAGCAAGAGTCCGTTTGCTTTACTTGGCAGTGAATTCTTTCTTGGTCAACAAGATATACTCCAAATTTTTCCTCTTCTAGTCTGAAAAGTGTACATTCTGATTCTATTTATTGTATTTAAGCTAAAAATCACAAATATGTATGTAATACATTTGAGCTGTGAAAATTAGTAACGAGAAACTTCACTAAAATGGAGTCAGGAGGTTTCTGCAGGGGAAGTTCTCACTCCTACCCACTTGTAGTTAATTGCAGACCCAACAGGAAGAGATGGACTTGATCTTACCTGAGCAGGACCTTGCCTATTGATACTACTCTACTACTCCTGTAAGGGCCTACTTAGCCAGATCGGGTCCATCTCGGTTGAACAGCCATTTTGTTGTTCATGCAGTAAAACTTAAACTGACCCTGCCCCCCCCCCCCCCCCCGCCCCGCAAGGAATTTACTTAGAAGCAAGTCCCGGAAACCAGTAAAATGTGGTCGACCAGTCCCTGATAAGAGAGCCCAAATACAAGGGCGGGGCAGGTCAGGTGGAGATAACAGAGCCCGAATGCAGGGATGAGTCGGGCCAGGTAGACATCCATCAGTGGAGCACGCATACTGTCTCCCTAGCTACCAAGGAGTGTGGGCCCTGCCTTTTAGGCGCCAAACTAGGGAGCCAACTCTGACCAAGGTGATAGGCTAATTCAAATAGCTACTATGGGGTGAATTGTAATTTAATTGGCCACCCATGTGTGACCTAGCATGACTGTGCAGCTTTCTCTGTGTGTTGCAATCTCATTGGCCACCTGTGGTCAACCACATGGCCTTTGCTCTATAAAAGTTAGTCTGTGAGGCTGGGAGTCGCTCGCTCTTTCTGTAAGAGGCGGCCCCAAACGGTCGGTTTGATTCTCGATGCTTGGCGCAAAACAAAGCTTTGCTTGACCTTCGCTTTGTATCAGTCTCACTCCTTTGATCACGGACCCTAACACTTCAGCCATAGGAAGAAATGTTTTCCTCACCCCCAACCCCAGACAATAGCTCAGCCCATGCAAAACCACCACACTTTGAACTCCCTCTTTACTTCAATGGATGTGTAGTTCATAACAGCCTTCCCAAGTTCCCTTGCCTCTCCTTGAAAAATTCTGTCCATGGGTGCCTGAGTGGCTCAGTGGGTTAAGCCTCTGCCTTTGGCTCAGGTCATGATCTCAGGGTCCTGGGATCAAGCCCCACATCAAGCTCTCTGCTCAGCAGGGGGTTGGCTTCCCCCTCTCTCTCTGCCTGTCTCTCTGCCTACTTGTGATCTCTCTCTCTCTGTCAAATAAAATCTTTAAAAAAAAATTCTGTCTGTCCTTTGTTCCCCAGACTTGCCTATGGTTTTGCTGCAGCCTGTTTGTCCTGGATTGCAATTCTCTTTTCCCAAATAAACCCATTTTTTTGCTGGTAAAATAACTGGCAGCCTCTTTTTAAAGTAAACAGAGTTACAAATACATTTACTTCCCATTTAGAAATATAAGAGATTTAGAACATTAAACAACTAGCCTTCTCTCAGTGGATGTTGTGTGAAGGAATGCTTGGGAATTCTGATGCTGAGAACAAAGGTAAAAGAAAAAAATAAATTTCCTTACAACTTAAAGCCCATTAACAAGTCTTTGAGATAGGCAGGTGATCTTCCTCTTGGAACTCAACTGCCTTGATGTTAATACTTTGCTGAGGGCAAAAGGCAATCTTAGCGTAATATTATCTTGACCTCCAAGATCCTGTAAGTCTAGTTTAGCATACAAAAATGCCAGGAATGGGGCACCTGGGTGGCTCAGTGGGTTAAAGCCTCTGCCTTCGGCCCAGGTCATGATCCCAGGGTCCTGGGATCGAGCCCCGCGTCGGGCTCTCTGCTCAGCAGGGAGCCTGCTTCCCTTCCTCTCTCTCTGCCTGCCTCTTTGCCTACTTGTAATCTCTGTCTGTCAAATAAATAAATAAAATCTTAAAAAAAAATGCCAGGAATGTCTGGCTGGCTCAGTCGGTAGAGTGTGTGACTCTTGACTTTGGGGCTGTGAGTTCAAGCCCCACTTTGGGAGGTTGAATTTACTTAGGGAAAAAAAAAATATTTGTGCTGCCCTAATACATAAAAATTCCTTTAGAAATTTCCTTTATCTCTATCCCACCAAAGATATATGTTAGCAATCATCCTTCAAGCATATGATCCACTTGTATACATCTGAACGGTCTTGTGACTAAGGTTTTACTCTGCAGTAATAAATGACCTTTTCCTAATGATAGCTAGCCCTTCAAGGGATTAGTCCATCAAGGTCCTGGAAACCTTGCTTCCAAATTCCTTAGAGACTTAGGCTATGCATAACCCTCTCCCAACTTTAGAGTACATAATCAGTTACCCCCTCATAAACCCAGTGCCGCTCCTTCTGCCCACAGGTTCTGTCTCCATGCTTTAATTTTAACCACCTTTCTGCACCAATGACGTCTCAAGAATTCTTTCTCAACTTTTCACTCCAAACTCCAACATTTGCATATCAGTTCCATCATTTTAATTCCATAGGGGGATATATTCGCATTTACAAAATAAATGATCATCTATTTTGAAAAAAGATGTACCTCTCTCACAATCTTGATTCCTTTTCTCATTGCAGACTTTTCATCTGGGATCACTCTTCCTTGAACTTAAATATTTTGCTTAGAATTTTATTTTCTGTGGATTTGTTTTCCATTACATTCCTCATTTGGGGCCTCATATAATAATAGTCTTATGTCACAAATTCTTTTTTTTTTTAATATTTTTTATTTATTTGACAGAGAAAGACAGAGAGAGGGAGCAAGCAGAGGGAGTGGGAGAGGGAGAAGCAGGCTTCCTGCTGAGCAGAGAGCCTGAGGCTCGATTCCAGAATCCTAGGATCATGACCTGAGCTGAAAGCAGACACTTAACGACTGGCACCTCTGTCACAACTTCTTAAGAGACATTTTTACTGTGTATAGAAATTTAATTTCGTGGCCACTTTTTTCTGCATAGAGACTGTTCTTACTGCCCTCCTGACTCCCAAACGACATTTGGTACATCGCCTTTCTTTCAGACATTTGTAACATACCTACAAGGAATTGAATACATCTCTATGTACAGAGTAAGAAATATTATCTTGTAAAAACGTGCTGCACCCGTGTTCTACACAGTCACTGATTATACAGTCAGGAGGAATGACTTCTGAGGTGATCAGAGGCACAAACACTGCTCACGTGCTTGAGCGGCGCTTAATATCCCTCTTCATGTCCACCTCGTCAGGTGTCTGGAGTCTTTCCTCTCCTGTTCCTCACCATCCATGCTGAGGCTCACAAAACTAACTCCAGAGCTGCAGGCTACAGGAGTTTACTTGATGACAATATTTATTAGCTTCCACCTGTAAAAATCTAGGAGAAATTAATTTTCTGGTGAGCAGTTTCTGCGCAGAGTCCTGAAATAATATCTCTAAGCATTTCTGTAACGGGTTACAGATCGCCCTCATCGGAAATATGGGAACGGCTCCTTTAAGGGAAAGAGCAGCCCCGCCTAGTCCTCAAGGAGACGCAATTTCTAGGCGCCGCTAGCTTCGTGGCTCCCGAGGCGGCGCTGACGCCTCTCGCCAGTGTGGTCGCGAAGGAAACCACATTACCCAGGATTCTCCGCGATGCTGGGCCAATGAAGGCTGGGGAGAGGGGCATTTCCGTTGGTGAGGGAGACGTCAGGGAGGGACTTCCGTTCCCCTCTTGAGCGGACATGTTGTTTGTTTTTAGGTGTCCAGACAGCCGTCAGGCCTGAATGACACGAGAAGGCAAACGCGAGAGGAGGCGTTGTCTCCCCTGAACAGAGGCGGGCCTGAGGATCGGGTCCTTGCACCTGTCGACCGCTAATGACCCCCTCCCCTCCGCGCGCCTTCCCCGGTCCGCAGGTTCCGGTGGCCGCGGTCGCGCTGACCGACCCGGCGCAGGTGGGTACTGCGCCCTCGGGTCCTCGCGCGACCTCTGTTTCTGAACGCAGACCCTCGAATGAGCCGCCTCAGGGCGCTGCCGCTCAGGCCCCTGTGTCTAGACAGCAGGGGCGCCCCTGGTTGGGCCCCATTTCTGATCGCCGGTGTGGCGGGCTGTGGAGCGACGTCGCGGACAGAGGGGCCAGCATATGCAAAGGCTTGGGAGGCGACACAGACGGAGCATTCGGGAAACCTGGAGCCTTGGTGTGTGAAAGGATCAGAGTGTGAGGAGGACTTAGACCTGCGGTGTCAGCCTGAGTAGCTCTAACGTCACTGTGAGCGTGCTGGGAGCTATGAAGGGTTCTAGACCGGGAGGGACGCTATCTGAAGGCTTTTAAAAGTATTTCATAGGCTGCTTGTGGAACGGACAGACAAGTTTGGGAGCTGAGGCGGCCCGTGAGGCACAGAAAGAGAGACCTAGTCCGAGGTAACACAGCTGTCAGGTGGCCTGAAGACCTAGGCACAGAAGGTAGGCAGTTAGCCCCGGGTATTTGCGGCGGGGCAGCAGTAGGGGATAGGCATGAGCTCCTTCGTGCTTGCTTGTCTCTCACAGTCTCCCTCTTCCCACAGGTTCCGATGAACTCAGAAGTAATTATGGACCCTGTACAGGTGAGGGAAAGGTGTCTGTGCTCTCAGCCATCCGACCCCCCACCCACCTGGTCTCCAGGATTTGGGTATCATACAGCACTCTTCTTATACTCTCTTGGCTCTTGAGTCTGAGGACCCTGGAGAAGTCTCCAGCCCAGGATTTTGAGCCCAGGCCAGGGGTTATATAGAAAGCTTCTCATTTTGGGTAACTGTTGGAATAAGATGTGGAGAGTTGTTCCAGGTACAGGAACTAACATGTGCATGTACTTGGAGGAGAGACTGAGATGGAAGTTTTCAGGAAACAGCAGGTCTCGCCCATGTGTGGTAGGAATCAGGAGCAGGTGGCCAGGAGTCAGGTCTAGAGTGACCAGCTGACTAGCTAGGCCTCTGTTCTGAGAGTTGTGTAGCCATGGGGCTATGGAGTGGAGGAGGGAGGTGGTCTGCTCCAGGTTTTAACAGGCACCCTGTGGATGCTAAGTGGAGAGCAAACTGTGTGTAGTGAGGGTAGAAGGAGCTCTGGTGTACACAGAGAAACCAGGGAGGAGGTTGTTTCAACATTCCAGGTGAGCGGTAGGAAGGGATGGGCCAGAGGGGAGCTGTGTAGGTGGGAGAAGTGTTGGATCAGATTTTTTTTTTTTTCATGTGAGAGAGAAAGAGAAAACCCCAAGGTTTTAGCCTATATTAGCTGGAAGGGTAGAAGCTCCATCAGTAGAGATGGGCAAATCAGTGCTAGACATAACTCAGATTGGATATTAGGATTTTAAATTTGTTGCCCATGTGAAGAGTCTAAGATGTTCCAGAGAACACCAAGTGGGGGCATCAGGTGAGCTGCTGGACACAGGACTGGACTTCTGTGGAGGGGTTCATGATGGAGACATCCAAAAAGTAGCGGGGGGTGTGTAGGCGGGTTTAAGAGGAAGAATGTGCCATGCAGTGCAGTTAGTGAGCCAGGAAGGTGATGGTGGAGGCCAGTGACTGGGTGGGGCGCCAGAGTTGTGAGACAGAGTAGGATCCAGAATTGTGTGCACCTGCAAAGTAGTGTGAACTGATGGCTCCTGGGTCTTGGTTTTGGGGGCCTAAAAGAGAAAGGTGAGCCCAACTTTGGTTGTGGGGGTAGCATGATTTTAGTAGCCCCAGGAGAACTGGTTGGCCGGAGGTGGGGGTGGGGGATGGGGAGAGCAAAGCAGTCCTGCAGGCTGGGCCCAGAGGTTAGATGGTGCCTCTCTGACCACCTGCCTATGGTTGCTATTGGCAGGCACTATAACAAAGAGACAGTTAGGAGAGTGCAGACACCATTGGCATCCACTCTCTATATTTCCCGAGTTGAGGAATTAGGTAGGAAGAAATGCAGGAGGGAGATCTGTGGGGGCCTGGATGGGTGACCTTGGGAGAGAGGCTACTCATGGACTTGGCTCTCCCCATTGTGGCAGGGACAGGTGAACTTTGAGGACGTGGCTGTGTACTTCTCCCAGGAGGAGTGGGGTCTCCTTGATGAGGCTCAGAGACGCCTGTACCGCGATGTGATGCTGGAGACCTTTGCACTTGTGGCCTCGCTGAGTAAGTCCCTCACACCCACCCCAGCGTCCTGTACTGGGCTCTGCTGCTCCCCTGTCTCCCAAGGATAGTCCAGTCCTTCCTGTTAACAGAGTTTGTTCTCTCCCTGCCTGGATGCCCTGTCCAGATCATGTGCTCGTGTCCCCCAGTTTCTGGCCCCTCCCTCTATCTGACGTCTGCAGCAGCCTGTCTGGGTCAGGAACTGCGGGACCAGAGTGGTCACCGCTGGCTGAGACCACTGAGCTATTTGTGCAAGACCCTACTTTAGGTTATTTTATAATACTTGGTTTTCTTCTCTGAGTGGTGGGTTCCCCAAACCAGTGCTGCCCATTTACCTGTCTTGTCTTCCCTTTAGGAGATGAATCTTCCATGTCCCATGGGGTTCCCTCCCTGGAGCTGGGCAGCAAGCCCTGGGGATCTGACTGGGCAGACGTTACTCCAGCCAGGACCAGAGAAGCTCAGGGTGGGTGTGGCCCTGGGGAATGGGAATGGGGAAGGATGTGATGTTGGGACTGTGTTCCTGTCATTCCCTAACCTCTCTCCCACACTTTACTTTCCCATGTACACACTTGTCTTATGCTCTGACCTTTGGCCTCTGGCTGTTCCCCACCTCAGCTTCCATAGCTCACCTGTTCTCTCCACTGCTTCTTCTGCAGTGCCCCCCAACATTGGCTTATACTCCGTATGTTGTGAGATGTGCACGTGCCCTAAACCACCCTTAGATACCAACTGCTCAGTGGTAGCTCGTCAGTAGTCAAGCTTCACAGCTCTCACTTGTCCCCCTATGGAATGTTCTTCCTGGGCTGTACCCCACAGGCTGTACTCTGTCCTCCTAGTCAAGGCCTCTTCCATTCCTTTTTTCTTTCTTTTTTTCCCCCTTAGACTTTCCCATTCTGTGATCTTTAGATGCCAACTACTGCACGGCAGCCCTTTACTCGCTTGAGCTTGGGCCTCTTGTTCTGATAGCATTCCTGTGACCTTGATCTTACTTCAGTTAGACACACATATATAATAAGGCCACCCCTTCCATCAGTGTTAATTTGTACTTGTCCTGTACATTTGTCTACTTTCAGGTTGTTGGCATGGAATGGAGGACGAGGAGATAGCTTTTGAGCAGAACAGTTTTATGGGAGTGTCACAGGTCAGGACTCCCAAGGCACGTCCTTCTACCCAGAAGGCCCACCTCTGTGAGACATGTGGCTTGGTCTTGAGAGACATTTTGCATGTGGCTGAGCCCCAGGGAACACACCCTGAGCAGAAATCATACATGTGTGGGGCATGTGGGAAACAATTCCGCTTCAATGCAAACCTTCACCACCAGAAGCAGCACAGTGGAGAGGAGCACTTCAGAGGGGGCAAGGGCAGCCCCTTGTTTGTGAGCAGCTCCCCTGTCGATCCACTGGAGATCCCTTGTACGACAGGGAAGAGTTATAAGGACTTCCCAACTAGCTCAAATATTTTCCAGCAGCGTGCTCCTCATAGTCAATGGAAGCCAAATAGTAACACCAAATGTGTGGGTGCCTTTCACAGTGGACAAAGGCATTACGAGTGTAATGAATGTGGGAAAGCCTTCAGCCGCAAAGACTCACTTGTCCAGCACCAGAGAGTCCACACTGGAGAAAGGCCTTATGAGTGCAGCGAATGTGGGAAAACCTTCAGCCGCAAACCCATACTTGCTCAGCACCAGAGAATCCACACTGGAGAAATGCCGTACGAGTGTGGCATATGTGGGAAAGTTTTCAATCATAGCTCCAACCTTATTGTACACCAGAGAGTTCACACTGGAGCGAGGCCTTACAAGTGCAGTGAATGTGGGAAAGCGTATAGCCACAAATCCACACTTGTTCAGCATGAGAGTATCCATACTGGAGAAAGACCTTACGAGTGCAGCGAATGTGGGAAGTACTTTGGTCACAAATACAGACTCATTAAACACTGGAGTGTTCATACTGGAGCAAGGCCCTATGAGTGCATTGCATGTGGGAAGTTCTTTAGCCAGAGCTCCGACCTTATTGCACACCAGAGAGTTCACAATGGTGAAAAGCCCTATGTGTGCAGTGACTGTGGAAAAGCCTTTAGCCACAAACATGTACTTGTTCAACACCACAGAATTCACACTGGAGAAAGGCCATATAAGTGCAGTGAGTGTGGGAAGGCCTTCAGGCAAAGAGCTTCCCTCATCCGACACTGGAAAGTTCACACTGGAGAAAGGCCTTAGGATGGCAGGGAATACACCATTTCCTTGTTCCATTAGTGACTGACAGCAGAGAGAAGCTCTGAGATTAGCCTTCTTGAGTAGCCATCAGCCAGAAGTTGAACCTCATAACATTTAAACATCCACCCCGAGGAGATTTTTCTGAGTGCAACATATGTGGGAAGCTTTCTGGTGCAGTATAGCCCTTTGTAACCTGTCCAGAAGCCTTGCCAGAATTCTGTCACTCCCCGTGTCTCTGGAAAAACAGAAAACAAAAAACCAGCCATGTATGGAATGGCAGAGTCCCACATTGTGCATAAGTCACCCCAACATGTTGTAATAGGCAGTCCTCTGCTCCTCCTCCCTTCCCCAGAGGGAATCATCAGTACCTGGAGCCCATTAAAAATCCACACTCCTTCCTGCCGTCTCCACCACCAGCTGGTATAAGCATGGACATGACCTAACTTTGGTCAGAAGGTGGCAAGCTTTGTTCTGCTGGCTGCTTGCAGAGAAGGTTTCCGTTTTTCGTGGACTTCGTTGGTCTCATTTTGCACTCACGATGGATTTGTGCAGTCTTCAAGTCACCTACCTTAGGAGTTGTCTGTCTCATGTTCTGTTTTTGCAACAAATGACTTAATTTTTAAACTATAATTTTGGGGATTCCATTCACTCTGCGTTGTATTGAAAACAGAATTGGATTCTGCCAGCGTGAAGGGAGGAAGAGCTTTTGTGAGAGTGCCAAATGTTGCGTCTCAGTGGTGTTAGCAGAATGGCAAGCAAGGAACATCTTTCGTTTTAGCCTAACTTGCATTACTGCTCAAGGTTGTCTATGAAAGAATACCGATCTTGGTGGGCCTAATCTTTTGGCCTATATGCTGAGATTTGTGATCATGGTCACCCTGAGCACTGGGCAGTTGTGACAGCCTCTGGTGTATCTGGGGGCAGTATGAATTGTTTCCCTTGTCCCAGAGGGAGTTTCATAGTCCCATATTCTCTTGATGAGAACTTGACCCCTGGGACCTGCCAGTGCCCCTGAAATCTATTTAATAGGCAGATGTCACTGTCCCCTAAAAAGACTAGGTAGGAATCATAATTGGCACAGATACTGATTAACAGGGAGTTGGGAGCAAACTACAGGGAGTGTGACTCTAATAAAGGTAATTCCACATGTTTCCATCACTATGGCTTTGGTACAAGGTTACAGAAATTCTCAGGATTCCCATATTTGTGTCTCTTACGGCTGCAGTCACTGTCAGAGCAATCAGTTGAAGCATTTTCTGCAATAAAATGCACATATTTATAGTGTACAGTTTGATAAGTTTTGATACATGTTTGCACCTGTGAAGCCAAGTTTTCTGATGTGCCCCACAATCCCTCTGCCCCTTACCCATTCCCAGGCAACCATTCATCTTGCTTTCTGTCACAGTAGATTTATTTGAATTTCCCAGAATTTTTTTCAATTAGCAATAATCACGCCTCGGATAAACCTCATTGGCTACAATACTGCCACTGCACAAAGCTCCCAGAATTTTTTTATCTGTGGAAAAATTTATGTACACAGGTAACACTTTAATATGTATTCTTACGTATCTGGCTTTAACTTTGAATAATTATCTTGTGATCCATCAGTGTTAGGATCAATTCATTCCTTTGCATTCATGCTTTTTCTCATTTTAGAGAAGAAGTTCCAAATCAGGTGATCCAGTAGAGGGCTCACACAAAAACAGCTACAGTATCTGTTCAACCTTTTCCAGGACATGATGTGTTAACTTTCCTGACTTACTCTGTGGGTGACACAGACTCATCCTGGTGTAAAGTGGAAGGGGATTCCAGAACAGGGATAATACAAGAAGGTAGGGGTTTCTAAGAGAATGTCTTGGATAGTGGCCACCACAATCGTAGGCTTTATTTTCTTTTGCATTTTTAATCTTCCAATGATGAGTTACATTGACAAATTTTAAAAACTTAAACCAGTCTTACATTTCTAAGATGAGCCCCGCTTGGTCATGATGTGTTCTTTTTATGTATTGTATTTATTTGCCTTTTTTTTTTTTTTTAAGATTTTTGTTCATGAGAGATGTTAGTTTCTAATTTTTCTTAATGCTTGGGTTTAATTGGTATCACCATAATGCTGGCTTTATACATTACGTTGGTTAAGTATCCCCTGATTTTTATTTTTTTAATTTCAGTTTCTGAAGAATTGGTGTTGTTTCTTCCTTGTTTTGTAGAATTCACCAGTGAAATAATTTGACCTGGAGTTTATCTTATGGGAAGATTTGTAATTACAAATTTAATTTTCATAGTGGATCTACATCTATAGAAGTTATCTTTTTTCCTATAGAGTGAGCATTGGTGGTTTGTGTCATTCAAGGAGTTCATTTTATTTAAGTAATCAAACTTTTCAAACCATTATTATTTTAGTGCCTGCAGAGTCTTTACTGATGCCACCTCTAATTCCTGTGTTAACCTTAAAAATAAAACTGCCAGTTATTTTACCAGCCAAAAAATGGGTTTATTCAGGAATAGCTGAGATTACAATCTAGGACAAGTGAATTTTAGCAAAACCATAGGCAAGTCCAGAGAACGAAGGTAAAGAACGATTTTTTATAGAGGAAAGGGGGAAGTTGGGAAGGGCTGTAATAAACTAAAAGTCCACTGACCTAAATTGGGGCTTGTAACTACAGTTTGTTATTAGCCGAGCTGTCACTGTCTCTAATTGGTTGGATTGTTGCCAGGGGAGGGAGAACTCTCTCCTCCTGCTAGGACAATAAAGTAGTATTGGCTCTCAAGGTCCACCTCTTCCTGTCCAGTCTGCAGTCGGCAGCTAGTGCCACGCGTGAGAGCACCCCCTGCTGGCCGCCTGGCCTCATTCTAAATGAGGTTTCCTTTTATTAATTTGCCCATTTCCCCCTTTTGATTAAGATCTTTCTTTGAAAGCATTGCCAATCAGTAGTCAGGTTCTTTATGCTTACTGGTTTTGTCCCTCAGTACCAGGAAGGTTGTCATGTCCTACATTGGAAGGAAAGTGTTGCAAGTGGAAACCAGTTAAGGCCACATTTGAGGAATAAGGAAGGTTAGGAGGGAGAAACTCGGAGTCTTGAAGCATCAGCCAGCATCACCTTATTGGGTGATCATTTAAAAAGATAAAAAAAAAAAAAAAGAAACCTCAACAGCAAAATACAAAACAGTTCTATACAAGTCAAAAGTAACAATTTCAAATTGTATGATGGTTGTTTTTATTTTATTTATTCCTTTATTTGTCAGAGAGAGAGCATGCGCACGAGCAGAGGGAGCAGAGGGAGCAGAGGGAGAAGCAGGCTCCCTGCTGAGCAAGGAACCTGATGCAGGACTAGATCCCAGGACCCTGGGGTCATGACCTGAGCCCAAAGAAGATGCTTAACCGACTGAGCCACTCAGGCACCCCTGTATGATGGTTCTAAACAAGGACCCTAGTTCTGAAAGTGAAATGAAATGTTTATTGGCACTTATTCCAACTTAGGGGAGAAAAGTTCTCCCTATGAAGTCAAACTTGGAGTGAGGTATTCCTCTTGAAAATGTTTGCTTAAAGTAACCATGAAAACAGACTCCTGAATACCACTAGAGTACAGGGGAATAGTGAACCACGTGTGCGTAGGAAGACAGAGTGTGGGTGTGAACATGGAGCAACAGCCGATGAACTTTTTGCAAAACAACAGAACTTCAAAGATACCTTAAAACCGTGCCGTTACCAAAACAAAACACCGTACTGTTACCTAAAAAAACTATTTAGAGGGCGCCTGGTGGCTCAGTTGGTTGAGCAACTGCCTTCGGTTCAGGTCATGATCCTGGAGTCCCAGGATCAAGCCCTGCATCGGCCTCCCTGCTTGGCAGAGAGTCTGCTTCTACCTCTAACACTCCTCTCTCTCATGCTCTCTTTTTCTCATCCTCTCTCAAATAAACAAAATCTTTAAAAATATATTAAAAAATTTAGAAACAGGGGCGCCTGGGTGGCTCAGTGGGTTAAAGCCTCTGCCTTCGGCTCAGGTCAGGGTCTCAGGGTCCTGGGATCGAGCCCCGCATTGGGCTCTCTGCTCAGCGGGGAGCCTGTTTCCCCCCCCCCCCATCTGCGTCTCTGCCTACTTGTGAACTCTCTCCCTCTGTCAAATAAATAAATAAATAAATAAACCTTTAAAAAAAAATTTAGAAACAAATGTGTTCTTGCTAATACAGTCTGTGAGGTTGAAAATTCAGAGACCATGAATTTGGAGATGAATCTGAAGTCAGTCAGTAGTTCAGATGAAGGAGACTTCTGAACTTTGAACCTTCCAACCTGTAAGGAAAAGCAGGTGAAAATGAACTTGTCCCAGGGTCACGAGGCTGCTTCTGAAAGGCCGCGATCAAAAGATGCTCTCCTGCTTGCCAGGGCTTGGAAAATGCAGACAGTGGGACTGTTTTCCCATTCAAGAAGAAGCTACAGTGAAAAAGGTATGCATGCTTGTTTTGCACATCTTGGGAAAGCTGTTGTCAGATGTCTGCCTCAATTCCAAGAAATCTTTACTTTCAAGTCACCAGATGGTGTGCAGATCCAGTCAAGGTTTGGTGCTTTCTGTAGAGGTGTTACAGATACCCAAGTCTTTTCCCTGGAGTTTGGTGGCACAAGGGTTGGTTAGCAGTTCCTGACAATGGTCTTTCCAGTGAGGCTGAAGAGTCTGGAGGTGTCTTTTCCAATAGCCCAAATCTCCAGGTTGCAAAGTGTGATGCTTAAGGTCACAGGGCAGTACTCTGAGAAGATCGCTCTACCAAAACATGGTTGTTTTTAACAGAAGTAATTACGCCTCTACACAGTTTTATCAACTGTGGGTCAAAGAAGGCAGGGACCAAGTCCTGTGACTATGTCAAAGGGTAAAAGTCCATGAGTCCCCACAGGGGTGGATGTGAGGTATAGAAGAATTAACAGCCAGAGAGTCTAAAGTTTTGCCAATTGAGTCTTAATAAGTGCCGCTAGTGCGTTCAGCGAACTGAGGGTTTAAGATAATATGCACAACAAAAGTGTAAAACTGGCCAAGCAGCACAGAAATGTCAAAGTATCTGACCAGTAAAATGGGTTCCCTGATTGCTGGGAAGTCTGAGAGAGGTTTCCCATAAGGGACAGAGATCTCAGGTCCTGGGATCGAACCCCACATCGGGCTCTCTGCTCAGTAGGGAGCCTGCTTCCCTTCCTCTCTCTGCCTGCCTCTCTGCCTACTTGTGATCTCTGTCAAATAAAATCTTAAGATCAGGCCCCCTGAGTATCTAACCTGAGACTGAGCAAATTGCAATTTTTTCATTGGCGATGTTATGTCCCTTTAAGGCCAAAAATTTTAACAAGTGGATGTGGCCTTCCCGTGAAGAGATTTGAGAAGGGGACAGAGAAGCAAATCATCTTGCAGCTAAGTAGAGAGTGCACAGAACTTTCTGTCATCCAAATCAAGTTCTACAGTTTGTGAAAAGTAAGAGGGACTCTGTGAGACCTTGCGGTATGATTGTCTAGGTGTTATTTCTGTTCTTTCCCGACAAAAACAAAATGATATTGGCTGTCCTTATCAATCCAGGACAAACAAGCTTCAGCAAAACCATAGCAAGTCGAGAGAACAAAGGTGAGGAATGCTCTTTAAAAAAAATTATTTATTTGCTAGAGATCACAAGCAGGCAGAGCAGCAGGCAGAGCAGCAGGCAGAGGGGGGGAAGCAGGCTCCCCGCCAAGCAGAGAGCCTGATGCGGGGCTCGATTCCAGGACCCTGAGATCATGACCTGAGCCGAAGGCAGAGATTTAACCCACTGAGCCACCCAGGCGCCCCAGCAATGCTCTTTTATAGAGGAAAAGGGAAGTTGGGAAGGCTGTTATAAACTAAAAGTCCATTGGAGTGAACGGAGCTGTAAGTATAGTGGCTTCTCGTTGACTGAGCTTGTCTTCATCATCGGCTGGGCTGTTGCCAGGAGAGGAAGAAATCTGACTTACTCCTGGGGAATAGTGAAGTGGTATTGGTTTGCGAGGTCCGTCACTTCCTGCTGGGGCTGCAGTGGACGACTAGTGCCAGGTGTAAGAGCTCCCCCTGCTGGCCTCCGGCTCCATTCTAAACGAGGTCTCCCTTTTCTGAGTTCGCGCTTCTTACACCTCACCTTTTCTTGATCACTTTCATTATCTCCTTAAAGCACTTGGTTGCACTGATTTTCCTGTTCCATTTTTTTCTAATTTGACTTTTTTTTTTTTTTTACTATTGCCGTTTGCTTTTTTTTTTTTTTTTTTTTTTTGTAATCTCTTTGCCCAGTAGGGGGCTGGAACT